AGGCTCAGCACCTCCAGGCTCAGCACCCCCAGGCTCAGCACCCCCAGACTCAGCACCCTCAGCAGTACCTGAGTCACCAGCAACCTCGACCGGCTCGACTGCATCGACCTGGGACACACCTTAAGGGGCAGGACCCTGAGGGGGAAGGGGGTCTACCGGGGGGGGACCTGGCACAAGGAAGTGCGGCGGCGGCGGGAGGGAAGGAGTGCGGTAGGGGAAGAGGCGGTAGAAGGGGACCGACTCGTCGAACGTGACGTCCTGGGAGGACAGAACACGACGAGAGGAGGGGTGGTAGAACTGCCACCCTGGGGCGTCAGGGGGAAAGCCCAGGAAGACACAGGGAGCAGCACGAGGGGACAGCTTGTCCGCAGACAAGTCGCGGACAAACGCCCGAGATCCCCAGACCCGGAACGCAGACGCATCGCCGACCTTCCCCGTCCACAGCAGAGCTGGGGAGGTCTCCGGCCGGGAGACCCTGGGGTGAAGGTTGAGCTGATGCGCCGCGTACCGAACCGCAAACGGCCACAGAAAATGGGGGGCAGCCGCATGCATCATGGACGTACGAGCGACGTCCATGACCATGCCAATGCGGCGCTCAGCAATCCCATTTTGCTGTGGAGAGTCCGGAAGCGTAAAGGTCTGGCGAATCCCCCGTGCACAACAGTAGGCCCGCAGAAGGCCAAAGGAGAACTCCCCACCTCGGTCAGAGTGTAGACGCAGAACAGGAAAGTCCGAGCCGAAGCTCCTCCTGAGCTGGAGACGAGCTGCGCGGATCCAGTCGATCAGCACCTCAGTGACATCACCCTTGCTGCGCAAGGGGAAGACTGTGGTGTAACGCGAGTAGTCGTCAACCACCAGCAGGAAGTAGCGCTCGTGACCTTGTCCACGGACGCGGGCCGGGCCCCACACGTCCATGTGAAGTGTCTGCAGAGGAGCCTCTGTCGGGGGAAACTGTGAGGAGTGAGGAGCAGCCCGGAGGCGCCCCTCGACACAGGGGACACAGGAAGGTCCTGGTCCCGAAGGAAGGGGAGGGAGAGACCGGGGGAGACCAGAGACAAGGACACGGGAAGCCATGCCCCGAAGACGAGGCAAGGAGGGGTGGCCAAGACGGTGGTGCCACAAGAGAGTCTCGTGAGACAGGAGGCGACACGAACAGGGGGCAGACTCAGGACCAGACCGGGACGCAGCAGCAAACACCTGACCCGACGCAGTTACCTGGCCAGACGCAGGGACAGGAGGAGACTCAGTGGTCAGGGTGTAGAGGCTCGACCCTGGCCGACGCGAGAACGTGGCCAGGTGCCGGCCTGTGCCTGCGTCCGTGCACTGGGTCACCCGCTGACTCGCAGGAGTAAACTGGTGAACCCCCGCATCCTGCAGGTCAGCACCACTCACCAAGTTCGTCGAGAACGAGGGGATGTACAGACCAGGCAGGGTGCCCGAGGGGGCAGCCGGACACGGGAGGACAGTGGAGAAGTGAGAGAGGACAGGACCCCCAGAGGGGTCAGCCAGGGAGACTGCAACCGGCCGACCAAGCGGCGTGAGTGTGGTGCGGTCTCGAAAGAAGGAGCGAGAAGCCCCTGAGTCAAGTGTGAAAGTGAGGGAGGCCGAAGCCGACGCAGTACCTGGGAGCGCAGCCTCACTAGTACCTGAGAGCGCAGACGCACTGGCACCTAGAGCAGCAGCCTCACAAGCACCTAGCGCAGCAGTACCAATGCCCGGGTCGGGCGGGAAACACCGGTAACAGTCACCCTCCTCACTAATAGTCACAGCATACATGGCAGCAAGGATAGCATCAAAGTCAAGATCAAAGATAGCTACACCAGCCCTAGACAGCTCTCCCCAGCGGGGAATCTCACTAGCCTCGGGGAACTGCTGACGCCAAGCGTCCGTCAGGCGGCCAAAGCAGCGCTGGGTGGGGTGGGCACCCCCACACTGCTCACCCGCACGGTCGCCGGAACGAAGGACGTAGGCGCACGGACCAGTACCCCCACCCCTCTGACGCTGCGTGTACCACTCACGGAGCTGCTGGGGCGGGGGGATGTCCCTCGAACGCTGCTGCTGCTGCTGCTGGCGCGGACCACTAGCAGAGCCGCTCCGCTGCGGGGCACCACCCCGACCAGCTCCACCCCCTCCGCCACCGCCGCCTCCACCTCCGCCACCACCGCCGCCTCCACTCTCACCGCTGCCGCCGCCACCGCCGCCTCCTCCGCCGCTGCCACCACCACCACCGCCTCCGCCACTACTCCCACCGCCACCCCCACTCCCTCCGCCGCCTCCACCGCCACCTCCACCGCCCCCTCCAGCTCCACCCGCGCCCTTGCCCCCCTTGCCCTTGCCAGGGCGGCGTCTCCCGCTAGGGGCAGACGCCGCGTCGACCGACTCAAGACCAAGCAGGTCGGCAGCAGCAGCAGAGGCAACAGAGGGCAGTAGGGGGGAAGGAGAACACCCCTCAAAGATGGGGGTGCGAGGGTCACCACGAGAGGCTCCGACAGCGACGATGCTCTTCTCCGCCGCTAGGAGGGCCTTCTCGAGGAGGTCGACAGTGAGAGTGGTGGGACAGACTGAGAGGAAGTGGTCCCTGACTACGCGAAGGGAGTCAGGGAGGCGTGTGACTATGTAGTAGAGAGTGATGTACATGGGGGGGGGGTTCTTGGCGCAGAACTCAGCAGGAAGGGCGGCGCGGTAGCGAGTGTCACTAGTGCGGAGGTGCGTAATGAGGTCAGCGACAGTGGGAAAGGCGGTGAGATCAGGAAAGAGGTACGGTAGCATGAGACGGCTCAGTGCAGCAGTGGCAGGGGAAGAGTAGCGCGCAACTACAGCGTCGTACAAGGTCTGAGCACTCTTGTACTGACTAAAGTGCGCGCGCTCAGTGGTGGGCAAGTGGCGACGCACAGCAAGACGTGCAGCAGCATCGCGGGTGGCCCACTGAGAGCGAACAGTGGGGTCAGCATCAGCAGCAGGGGCAGGAGAGGCGCCAGAGGTGAGGTCAAAGAGGGAAAGGCCGTCCGCCCTATCGCACTGTAAGAAGAGCTGCAGGTCGTCGACCCAGACCTCAAATTCAATGGCTCGACCCTCAGCGTCAAAAGTGAGGACACTAGGGGTAGCCATGACAACGACAGTGGAGCAGTGCAAGCAGTAGGGGAAGGGCACGCAGTGACAGCGGTACGGTGCTCACCAGGCAGGGCAGGTCGGGCGACTCGGCGACTCGGCGGCTCGGCTGCTGGGCGGCTCGGCTCCCGGGCGGCTCGGCGGCACGGCGGCTCGGGTGCAGGGCGGCTCGGGGGCGGGGCGGCTCGGTTGCACTGCGGCTCGGTGGTCCGGCGGTGCGGCGGCTGCTGCTGGGCGACTCGGCTGCTCCGGTACCGGGCGGCGTGGCGGTCGGCTGCGTGGGCGGCGGGGCCGCGTAGGTGAGGGCGGCGAGGCCGCGTAGGTGAAGGTGGCGGGGCCGCGTAGGTGAAGGCGGCAGGGGCCGCTCAGGTGAAGGCGGCGGGGCCGCGTTGGTGAGGGCGGCGGGGCCGCGTAGGAGAGGGCGGCGAGGCCGCACAGCTCAGGGCGGCGAGGCCGCGATAGGAGGGCGGCGGGGCCGCAAGAGCAGAGCGACGGGGCCGCGATGTAAGGGCGGCGGGGCCGCGACCGCAGGGCGACGGGGCCGCGATCAAAGGGCGGCGGTGCCGCGATGTAAGGGCGGCGGGGCCACGACGTAAGGGCGGCGGGGCCGCGAGAGCAGGGGCGGCGGGGCCGCGATGGAAGGGCGGCGGGGCCGCGACGTAAGGGCGGCGGGGCCGCGACAGCAGGGCGACGGGGCCGCGAGGTAAGGGCGGCGGGGCCGCGAGAGCAGGGGCGGCGGGGCCGCGATCAAAGGGCGGCGGGGCCGCGAGATCAGGGGCGGCGGGGCCGCGATGTAAGGGCGGCGGGGTCGCGACGTAAGGGCGGCGGGGCCGCGACAGCAGGGCGACGGGGCCGCGAGGTAAGGGCGGCGGGGCCGCGAGAGCAGGGGCGGCGGGGCCGCGATCAAAGGGCGGCGGGGCCGCGAGAGCAGGGGCGGCGGGGCCGCGATGTAAGGGCGGCGGGGCCGCGAGGTAAGGGCGACGGGGCCGCGATCAAGGGGCGGCGGGGCCGCGATCGTAGGGTCGGCCGCTAGGGCGGCTCGGTAAGAGAATGGCCCGAGGCGCGACTCGGGATGAGTGCGCTTCGGGCAGGAAAAAAAATCGAGTGGTGGGCCCTAGGCGCAGTTCCCACAGGGGAACCTGCTCGATACCATGAGAAGAATAGAACGAGAATGAATGAACTATGAGTGAAGTGGGTACAAGTACTAACCCTAATTGGGTTGTACCCCCTATGGGATACCCCACTATAGCCTACACAAAAGCATAAGCTATAATGTTCTGACAAGGCCACGTGTGCAACGGCAAATCACCGTTTCCGGGTCTGGAGAAATTCTCTCTCGAGCCTGGGTTTGTTCGGGTGAACGAAGCGGATGGGGGCAAATTCGCGGATTGACTGGGGGAGCAGCTTTCATGTCAGCGCAACGCGAATCAGCGCAGACAAAAAACCCTGCAAATATGCAGCCATTATTATTAACTTGCTACACCGCATGAAAAGGTAGCTGCGTACATGAAATCGATTGCCATAAGTTCTTTCTAATGGCTGCGTCCATTCATGAATGGGTCATAGCAATGTCAACACTTCAACATTTGTATTGCGGTATGTTACACTCTCCATCAAGGCTTGGGAAATATTCTTTCAACAAGGAGAGCCTAGCTGTTCATACGGTATTATGCGTATCCATGGCAAGGGCGTGAACAGAAGACGGTCCTTTCTCCATATACTCCTCCCTGCTTATCGCCCATGCGGATAAGAAAGAGCTCGTCTGCACTCCCAAAGGCACATGAAAGGAAAAGGAGAGAAAGCAAACATTTATATCGGGCACACATATGGTCGTAACGAAGTGATACAATAACCGCCAGCAGCACTCACAGTGGCTATGGTCCTACCGCCCATCATGCGCCATACGGCCCCACTGCCTTCACAGAGAGTCGGCCGGTGAAGGGCGGTGGGAGCAGCTGCTGCAGCTCCAGATGCAGCCGCTCTGTCAAGCAGACCAACGGAAAGGGGGGGAGCAGACCAACGGAAAGGGGGGGAGCGACCAACGGAAGGGGGGAGCGAAGAATAAGGAGCCGATGAGCAGAAGCGGATGTTAAGCTGGCTAAAAAAGAGGGATAAGAAGGAATTTGTGAAAATATATACAGCCCTAAAAACCAACTTGGGGGATCTATCAAGGAGCACCTCACACAGCCCCCACCTGCTATCCCTGGCAGCGCAGACGTGCCCCCCGCCACCACCACGGTGCCGATCGCCTCCGCCACATCCTCACTTGCCAGCGGCGCAGGCACTCGCCCCCACACCCCCCCACCCGCCCCTGCTGCCCCTTCCCCACTTCCCTTTTCCCTCGTGGCACCCTCACCCCCACGCCCCTCCCCAGGTGCTCCTCCCCACTCCTCCGCCATCTCCCCCACCTCTGCAGCCGCTGCGCCTCTCGCGTAGCTGTGCCTGGCCTTCAAAAACGCCTTCACCCATTTTACACACTCCAATATGCATTGCGCCACTGTCAGCTGTATACCCCCGCAGCCACTGGTGAGGAAAAGGGGAGGGGGCACGAGGAGTTTGAGAGGGTGTAAAGGACGCATGAGTGGGGAGAAAGACGGAAACATGAGGGAAATCAACGGGAATGGCAACAAGTGACAATAGGGTTGTAATAGAGGGAGCATGTACGGCAGCAAGGAGAGGAGCACGAATGCGATCACAAGATAAAACAGCGGGACCACTTTGACCACATTGACCACATTGACCACATTGACCACGTTGACCACATTGACCACTTTGACCACATTGACCACATTGACCAAATTGACCACGAAACAGCGGGACCACTTTGACCACATTGACCACATTGACCACATTGACCACGTTGACCACATTGACCACTTTGACCACATTGACCACATTGACCAAATTGACCACGTTGACCACGTTGACCAGGGAGGACGCACATGCGGCAGAGTTGAGGTTGAAAGAGCACTTCAGGGGCGAGGAAGCGCTCCCTGGCGAGAGTGAAGGCGCCCTCCTCTAGCACCTCACACGTGCCCCGCGCCCCCCTCTCCTCGCCCCTCATGGCCACCTCAAAGTCGCGTGCCACAAAGCACAGCGACTGCAGGCGGGGAGGAGTTTGGGGTGACAAGCAGGAAGGAGTGGGGTGCAGAATGAAGACGTGCAGGAAGTAATTGCAAGAGGCTACGAGCCATGAGGAACTAAGGGGGGTGAACGGGAGGAATTACAAAGAAAAAAGGAGAATAAATTTTGGATGCAAGGCCACTGATTTTGTGGGACAAACCCCTATGATGGTGCGCATAGTGGACATGGGCTGACCCACCTCCCCCCCCTCGTGCAGTAACTGGCTGAGGTGCCCCGTGACTCTCATGGCACCCAGCGGCAGGCAGTAGAAGGTGATTGATACAAGGTGATTGATACGAGGCGATTGATACAAGGCGATTGATACAAGGCGATTGTGTCAGAATATTATGTTTCTCTAGTCTGCAGTGGGGTACTCTATAGTGAGTACAACCCTTTTAGGGTTTGCTATATGTATCCCAATGTTTGCTAGTGAACCCCTTCTTCTCTCATTTCACATTCCTCATTTCTTCACATGCTATCAGAGCGTCTACGCTCCTGGCCTGTGGGCCCACCTAACTGCTTCCGCTGCTACTCTGTGTTCGGCACGCCCCGTGGCGTGCCCCTTGCGCTACTCTTAGCGGCCCGTTGCCGCCCTTCCAGGCCCCTCGCGGCCCCTTCGCGGCCCCGTTGCCGCCCTTCCAGGTCCCTCGCGGCCCCTTCGCGGCCCCATCGCCGCCCCTTTCGCGGCCCGTCGCCGCCCTTCCAGGCCCCTCGCGGCCCCTTCGCGACCCCGTCGCCGCCCCTATCGGCCCTGTCGACGCCGCCAGCGGCCCCGTCGCCGACCCTAGCGGACCCGTCGCCGCTCCTATCGGCCCCGTCGCCGCCGCCAGCGGCCCTGTCGACGCCGCCAGCGGCCCCGTCGCGGACCCTAGCGGCCCCGTCGCCGCTCCTATCGGCCCCGTCGCCGCCGCCAGCGGCCTCGTCGCCGCCGCCAGCGGCCCCGTCGCCGCCGCCAGCGGCCCCGTTGCCGACCCTAGCGGCCCCGTCGCCGCTCCTATCGGCCCCGTCACCGCCGCCAGCGGCCCCGTCGTCGCCGCCAGCGGCCCCGTTGCCGCCTCCAGCAGCCCCGTCGCCGCCACTTGCGGCCCCGGCCCCGCCCCGGCCATGCCCCGTCGCCAGCCGCGGCGCACCGGGGGCACGTGCACCGCCCCCCCCCCCTTTTCCCGTCGCCTGTCGAGGCGACCTGAGGGGGCCGCGTGGGGGGGGCGAGCGTCGCCCCTTCTGCCGCCTGCTTTGGCGCCCTGGGAGACCGCGCGTCGCCCCCCCCCCCCCTCCCCCCCCCCTTCTCCCCCCCCCCCCCGTAACCTCCCTACCCGCCATCCCGCCCTGCCCTGTGTTAGGGTTTGGGGGTGGCGAGTGGGGGGTGGCGGGTGTATGGTCTCCCCTGCTCCTCCTCCTCCTCTGTCTCCCACTACTGCAGCTGCCGCTGAGGGGGGTGGGTGTGTGGGAGTCGACGGAGTGGTGCTTGGGGGTGGGGTGTGAGTGAACCTAGGGGTGCAGTAGGGGGTGTGTGAAATGGGGGTGGGATACTTTGGGGAGGTTGAAGGGGGTGGCCGCCGTGAAGCCCGCAGCTCCAGTTGCCCGTGAGACCGTTGCGCCAGTCGCCCGTGAGCCCGTTGCGCCAGTCGCCCGTGAGCCCGTTGCTCCAGTCGCCCGTGAGTCCGTTGCTCCTGCCGCTCAGAGTTAGCCGCAGAGCCAGTTACTCCAGTAGCCCGTGTGCCAGTTGCTCCAGTTGCCAGTGTGCCAGTTGCTCCAGTTGCCCGTGTGCCAGTTGCTCCAGTTGCGCCGTGTGCCAGCAGCTTCAGCTGCCGCCCACTACCTCCTCTCCTCTCATAGTCCCTCCTCCTCCACACTTGCCCTCTGCGATAGCCTCTAGCTTTGCTTACATTTGTGAACTTTAAACTGTTGCTTCTAGTACTTGTGCTCAGAATGTGTGGTGACATTGTGATCCACCCTGAGCTTGTTCTGCTTTGCTTGTTGTGCTGATTACACCCCACTTTGACTATGGGGATGTGTCAGAATATTATGTTTCTCTAGTCTGCAGTGGGGTACTCTATAGTGAGTACAACCCTTTTAGGGTTTGCTATATGTATCCCAATGTTTGCTAGTGAACCCCTCCTCTCTTCTTCATTCCTCGTTCTTTTTCACAGATTGATACAAGGCGATTGATACAAGGTGATTGATACAACGTGATGGATACAACGTGATTTATAAAAGGTGATTGATACAAGGCGATTGATACAAGGTGATTGATAATACAAGGCGATTGATACAAGGCGATTGATACAAGGCGATTGATACAAGGCGATTGATACAAGGCGATTGACACAAGGCGATTGATACAAGGCGATTGATACAAGGTGATTGATACAACGTGATTGATACAACGTGATTGATAAAAGGCGATTGATACAAGGCGATTGATACAAGGTGATTGATACAAGGTGATTGATACAACGTGATTGATAAAAGGCGATTGATACAAGGTGACTGATACAAGGCAATTGATACAAGGCGATTGATACAAGGCGATTGATACAAGGCGATTGATACAAGGGGATTGATACAAGGCGATTGATACAAGGCGATTGAAACAAGGCGATTGATACAAGGTGATTGATACAAGGCGATTGATACAAGGAGATTGATACAAGGTGATTGATACAAGGAGATTGATACAAGGTGATTGATACAAGGTGATTGATACAAGGCGATAGATACAAGGTGATTGATACAAGGCGATAGATACAATGCGATTGATACAAGGCGATTGATACAAGGCGATTGATACAAGGTGACTGATACAAGGTGATTGATAATACAAGGTGACTGATACAAGGTGATTGATAATACAAGGCGATTGATACAAGGCGATTGATACAAGGTGATTGATACAAGGAGATTGATACAAGGTGATGTTGGGCTGAGAAAAAGCCCTTAGGATCTTTGCAGTACTAAACTCTGAGTAGGAACAATGTAATAGCAGAAGCGTTTAATGATGAGTATGTGAACCACCTTGCGCTGGTATGTGAGGGCAAAGTACATTGATTAAAGCAAAGAGATACAATCTTTTATAAGAGTACAAGGGAACATGAAAGGTTATAGCTAATAACTGTTTTGCTGTTGCGGTTCGATACAGTACGACTCGGGCAACTGCTCAATGACGAGTCAGTTGTTTGTCCTTGCTGTCGCGCTGTACTTGTCAGGTCAAAGGTCGCTGACCTTTGACTTTCGTGTAACCTCCAGCAGTTGTTCAACCTCCGAGGGTTGACTCGCCGATGCTTCGCTGTGTTTCGCTTCGTTTATGACTTAATGTTTCGATACTACAGATGCGCTAAAATCACTTGTTTCCAACACTCCCCTTCGCTTCTGGAGTGTCGCTGCTGGTGACGTGGCTCTGTCCAGTCAGCAGCATGCAGTACTCGAACTTCTGTTTTCCGAGCTTCTTGGTCAAGTAGTCAGCTGCCATCTCGGATGTGGGGCAGTAAGACAGCTCGAGTCTGCCCTTCTCGATCTCGTCTTTTACGAAGAAGTATCGTAGGGCGATGTGCTTCGTCCTGTTCGCGAATCCATTTTTGTTCGCGATGCGGATTGCTGACTGGTTGTCGCAGAACAGGGAGAAACTGTGTAACTGAGCCAGCTTCACTTCCTCCAGGAGTTCGCGAAGGTACAGTCCTTCCTTGGTGGCTGAGCAGAGTGTGATATATTCTGCTTCAGCTGAGGAGAGGGCAATTAACTCCTGCTTGCTCGACTGCCACGAGATGGGTCCGATAGGTTCGAAGCGATAGATATAGCCAGTGCGCGAGCGTCTGTTGTCGGAGTCGCCGGCGTGATCGGCGTCGACGTAGCTGATTAACCTAGGTGTCGAGGTTCCGTTCTTGTGATAGGTCAGGCCGATCGTCGGAGTGCTAACGAGGTAGTGAAGAGCGCGGTCGAGCTCCGCCATATGTTCTGCTTCGGGCCTTTTGAGGTAGGTGGCGAGTTGACTCGCAGAGTACGATAGATCCGGACGACAGGTGACGACCGCGAAGAGGAGGCATCCAAGCTTTCTCTGGTAGTCGCGTATGCCGGCGGGCTTGAGCGGGGCAGATCCTTCCTTGTGATTTCCTGCGGTGTGGCGGTATGGCGTGGAAATGGAGATCGGGGTGAGTCCGAAGCGTTTGGCGATAGTGTCGGCATATTTCGCGGCGCTGAGGTAGATCGCGTCTTCTTCTTCTTGAATATTGAGGCCGAGATACTGCGTGACGGTGGACCAGACCGTGAGCGTGAGATCTTGCTACAGCTTCCCTTCTAATCAGGTAGTGACGTCGTTGGTCGAGCCGATGTAGAGTAGGTCGTCTACGTAGACGATGAGTAAAATGTAGTCGTTGCCCTTTGTGAGTCGGTACATGCCCTGGTCGTGCGGTAGCTGACAGAATCCGATGCAAATGAGTCTAGCGTGCAGGTACTGCTGCCACAGTCTCGGCGCCTGTTTGATGCCGTACAGGGACTTCACCAGCTGACCGACTTGGTGGGGTTCTCCGTTTGAGCCGTGTAGTAGTTCGACGAAGATCTATGTGTCAACAGGTGCGTAGAGGAAGGCATTAGCGACGTCAATTTGCCGCAGTTTCTTCTTCTTCATGGCGGCGATCGCGAGGAGAGTTCGAAGCGAAGTGTGTCGGCTGACCGGGGCAAACGTGTCGGTGAAATTGCGTCCGTGCTCTTGGTCGAAGCCACGTACGACCCAGCGCGCCTTGAACTTGTCGATAGTGCCGTCTGCCTTTGTCTTCACACGGAAGACCCATTTCCCGGTGAGTATTGTCTTGTTTTGTGCCACGCTGATAGGAACAACTTTCCAAGTGTTGCGTTCCTCCAGTGCTTTCAGCTCCCTGTCCATGGCTTCGCGCCATTTCTCCCTATTCCCCCCCCCCCAAGAGCCTGCTGAACTGTGGCAGGCTCCTTAGGAAGTGCCGCGCCGTGAACCGCGGTGACGAGACCGAGTATCTGGAGACCACTCTGTGTGTAGCGAGGAAGTGTTGTGTCCTCGGGATAAGCTGCTTCGTCTCCTGCTTCTGGGTCAGGTATGAAATTAGGCCCTATGCATTCTGCTTCGTTGGTGTTGACTCTTGCAGGTGTAACGTAACCGTTGTCGGCGAAGTGGTAAAATACTTCGGTGTTGGCGCTCTCGCGAGGATTTTCGTCATCCATTGGGACGTGGACAGAGCAGTAAGGGAGAGGTCCGGCTTCCTCCGAGGCTTCATCCACGTTCTGCTCGTCCCAATCAGCTTCGTCTGTTGCCGAGGCGAAGGCTCGGTCACCATGAAAACCACCTGTGGGGTCCCGGTCTTCTTCCAGGTCGGCAAGGTACGTTGGGAGTGTGAGTCGCTCGTAGAAAATGACATCACGTGCTGCTACTGTTTCCTTTCAGTGGACGTAAAAAATCTTCCACGCGTTGTAATTATTTTCGATGCCCAGGTGGACAGGCAATGGCACTAGGGGCAGAAGAGCAGATGCGTTCCGTCCCATGGGGTTGGTGCATCTGGCATTCGTGCTCCCTGGGCTGACACTGCACACCGCTCCTGTTTCGCCTCACCCGCTTCGCCACTCAAGTAAGGATTTCAAGACACATAGTACATCATCTCACACGTGGTATAGCATCTCACACTCGACGGCGAATTCTCAATGTCACATCGCTTGCTCTCTCACGCGAGCCTCACCTTCTCCCTCGCCCCAGCCTCAGCTGAGTTTCAGCGAAGACCACCATCGGCCATCTCTCGGGATCTTCGGATTGCAGCAGGTTCTCCCACAGCGAATCAGAGCTCGCAAAGTGGCGCCATTTCCGGCTAACAGCAGCGGCGGTGGCGAGGGATTTTCCGGAAAGGAAGAAGAAGACTATAGAGAGTACGTCGGATGGAAGTTGGTCTAGCGAACGAGAATCGGAACCATTGATTGGGTTGTTGCTGGTAAGAGGCATACTTGGAATGACGCTGCTGTTTTGGTAGATGTGGGTTGATATGGTGCTCGTGAGGTCATCGCTTCTGCGAGCATTCATAGCGTCAGTATCGAGATTCTCGCCAGCAGCGGCCATTGCTGCTACTCTGATGTGAGCGACGACGAGCTTCAGCAGTGAATGATGGACATCATTTGAGAAACATGGCTCGATAACGACTGCAAGGATGGGAGACTGAGCGGTGCATTCTAAAAGCTGCGAGATAGGGTCTAGAGCATATGTTTTAGTACCGATTGGAGTAGCTTCATGTCAGCGCGACGCGAATCAGCACAGTCGGCCATCTCTACAAATCTGCCTTGATAGTCATAAACTTGCTACACCTCGACAACTGGTGGCTACATGCAAAAAACCGTTCCCACTAAATTATTTTGAAGACAACCAGCACACATCTAGTGGCTACAGCCTTTCATGAAAACGTTGTGGCAATATCACACTTCATCATATGTTATACTCTCCATCAAGGCTTGGGGAATATTCTTACAACAGGAAGAGCCTGGCTGTTCATGTTGTGCGTATCCATGGCAAGGGCATGAACAGAAGACGGTCCTTTCTCCATATACTCCTCCCTGCTTAGCGCCCATGCTGATAAAAACGAGCTCGTCTGCATTCCAAAAAGCACGGGAAGAAGAAACATATATTAGAAGGATCATTTATAGAAGTCACACATAGGTCGTAACGAAGTGATCAGTCACAGCCAATAACACTCACAGTAGCAACGATCCTGCCGCCCATCCATGCACCATACGGCCCCACTGCCTTCACAGTGAGTCTGTTAGCGAGGGGCAGGGGAAGCAGGCGCTGCAGCTCCAGATGAAGCCGCTCTGTGCGGATGGGATGGGACCAACAGGGGTGAATCAACAAGAGCAGCAGAGGCACAGAAGAGGACAGCAGCGGAAAATCAGGTTAGCGGAACAGATACAGGAAGGCTTTTCACAGAGAAACATCATCGTATAAACTCTCGTCATTCCCACTCGGAGGCTGTACGAAGGAACAAAGGGCCCCACCTGCTATCCCTGGCAGCGCAGACGTGCCCCCCGCCACCACCACGGTGCCGATCGCCTCCGCCACATCCTCACTTGATAGTGGCGCAGGCACTCGCCCCCACACCCCCCCACCCGCCCCTGCCTCCCCCTCCCCACTTCCCACCCGCCTCGTGGTACCTTCACCCCCTGGCCCCGCCCCAGGCACTCGCTCACCCTCCTCCCCCCCTTTCTCCTTCTCCTTCTCCTCATCTGCAGCCGGTGCCTCTCCCGCGTGGCTGTGTCGGGCCTTCCAGTCCTGCTGCACCTGAAACGCCTTCACCCGGGCAGCACACTCCACTATGCACTGCGCCACTGCCTGCTGTATGCCCCTGCCGCCGCTGATGGGGGAAGAGAGGAGGAGGAGGAGGGGGTGAGGGCGTGGGGTGAGAGGGAGAAAAGCACGTGTGAGTGGGGGGGAGAGACGAAACGAGTGAGGGGAGATCAACGGGGAAGACTACGAACCCTGGTCAATGAGGTTGTCACACGCACGCAGCAGTAAGGAGAGAAGAACAACCATGTGAGCACAAGATAAAATAGCTGATAGAGCACATTGACCCCATTGACCACATTGGGGAAAGTAAACGTACAGGCCACAGAGGTGAGGTTGAAAGAGCACTTCAGGGGCGAGGAAGCGCTCCCTGGCGAGAGTGAAGGCGCCCTCCCCCGGCACCTCACACGTGCCCCGCACCCCCCTCTCCTCGCCCCTCCTCGCTGCCTCAAAGTCCCGCGCCACAAAGCACAGCGACTGTGGGAGGAGGGAGGGGGGGGTGGGGGTGGTTGGGGTGAAAAGCAGGAAGGAGTGGGATGCCGAATGAAGATGTGCAGAAAGTTACAGCAAGAGCCTGGAAGTCGTGCGCCACAAAGCACAGCGACTGCGGGAGGGGAGAGAGGGGGTTGGGGTGACAAGCATGATGCAGTGGGGTGCTGAAAGTTATTGCGAGAGCCTGTGAGCCATGAGAAACTGAGGGCAGGGATGCGAGGAATAATAAGAAGAGGAGCCTGTAACACACCTAGGCAGGCGCCTTCAGTAACACACCTAGGCAGGCGCCTTCAGTAACACACCTAGGCAGGCGCCTTCAGTAACACACCTAGGCAGGCGCCTTCAGTAACACACCTAGGCAGGCGCCTTCAGTAGCACACCTAGGCAGGCGCCTTCAGTAACACACCTAGGCAGGCGCCTTCAGTAACACACCTAGGCAGGCGCCTTCAGTAACACACCTAGGCAGGCGCCTTCAGTAACACACCTAGGCAGGCGCCTTCAGTAACACACCTAGGCAGGCGCCTTCAGTAACACACCTAGGCAGGCGCCTTCAGTAACACACCTAGGCAGGCGCCTTCAGTAACACACCTAGGCAGGCGCCTTCAGTAACACACCTAGGCAGGCGCCTTCAGTAACACACCTAGGCAGGCGACTTCAGTAACACACCTAGGCAGGCGCCTTCAGTAACACACCTAGGCAGGCGCCTTCAGTAACACACCTAGGCAGGCGCCTTCAGTAACACACCTAGGCAGGCGCCTTCAGTAACACACCTAGGCAGGCGCCTTCAGTAACACACCTAGGCAGGCGCCTTCAGTAACACACCTAGGCAGGCGCCTTCAGTAACACACCTAGGCTGGCGCCTTCAGTAACACACCTAGGCAGGCGCCTTCAGTAACACACCTAGGCAGGCGCCTTCAGTAACACACCTAGGCAGGCGCCTTCAGTAACACACCTAGGCAGGCGCCTTCAGTAACACACCTAGGCAGGCGCCTTCAGTAACACACCTAGGCAGGCGCCTTCAGTAACACACCTAGGCAGGCGCCTTCAGTAACACACCTAGGCAGGCGTCTTCAGTAACACACCTAGGCAGGCGCCTTCAGTAACACACCTAGGCAAGCGCCTTCAGTAACGCAACTAAGGCAATAAATGATACGATAGAAGTGACCTCTTTGACGGTGCGCACAGTGAACATGGACTGGCACACGATCCCAGGTGAACATGGACTGGCACACGATCCCAGGTGAACATGGACTGGCACACGATCCCAGGTGAACATGGACTGGCACACGATCCCAGGTGAACATGGACTGGCACACGATCCCAGGTGAACATGGACTTGCACACGATCCCAGGTGAACATGGACTGGCACACGATCCCAGGTGAACATGGACTGGCACACGATCCCAGGTGAACATGGACTGGCACACGATCCCAGAATCGTGCAGTAACTGGCTGAGGTGCCCCGTGACTCGCATGGCGCCCAGCGGCAGGCAGTACAAGGGCAGCAGGCTGCATGCGGTGCGGCCTCGCATGATGGGAAGTATTGTGGTGCTGCGGAAGCCAATGTTCACCACCACACCTGATGCTGCCCCCGCTGCCAACAGGGCCAGGGTGGCCTGGGTGGGTGGCAACGGAAGGGAAAGGGAGGAGAGAGGGGCATGGATGACAGATGAGACGGTGAAGGGAGAAGGGATGGGCGAGGGGGAGTGGGGATGGCGACAGAGTGGACGTATAAAGAAGTAACTAGTTAAAGTAGACATATTTGGTATCAGAGTGTGGGGTTACCTGGTGGAATGGGGTTACCTGGTGGAATGGGGTTACCTGGTTGCTATGTTCAGAAAGATGCGTCCTGCGTCCTGGACGCATGCGTCTAGACGCAGGACGCTGACCCTTGACCTGTAAGACGCACCAAAAGACGCAAGCCCGGGCAGGGAAAAAAAACCCCCGGGCAGGCCAAAAAAATTTGTATAGGGCTTGGGAGAGGGGGGGGGGGGGTGTCATACCACAAAATTTTCCCCAACCACAAAATTTTCCCCCAAAATTTGAGATTAAGGTGAGTCACGTGTCACACATTTCACAAGGTCTCTCACACACACATTACGTTTAATCCAACCATTTACGACCATGCATACTAAACTACCACTGCACTGCATCAAGTCAACCATCACGCATCCCCATCATCCTCGCTCTCCTTCTCCTCTTCGTCCATCGCTTCCTGGTCCTTGTACTCGTCGACTGCCGGGTCGTCCTCGTCCACCTCCCTCTCCCCGTCCTCCTCCAACTTGTATCCCCTGGGGAGGGGAGGGGTGGGAATGTTACCCTCCACCACCCCCGCCCTCCTCACTTCCCCACTTGGCCCTCCTCAGGGAATGTTAGTGGGGCTGGTTTTGAATGGCGAATTGGGCTTGGGGTCGGGAAATTTCGCGATTTCGACGCGAATCGCAATCGATTTTTTTTTTCGGGCTGCCCGAAATTTTTTTCGACGTGCGTCCTGCGTCCTAGCTGCGTCTTTCCGAACTTAGCCTGGTTGCATGGGGTTACCTGGTCGCATGGGGTTACCTGGTTGCATGGGGTTACCTGGTCGCATGGGGTTACCTGGTCGCATGGGGTTACCTGGTTGCATGGGGTTACCTGGTCGCATGGGGTTACCTGGTCGCATGGGGTTACCTGGTCGCATGGGGTTACCTGGTCGCATGGGGTTACCTGGTCGCATGGGGTTACCTGGTTGCATGGGGTTACCTGGTCGCATGAGGTTACCTGGTCGCATGGGGTTACCTGGTCGCATGGGGTTACCTGGTCGCATGGGGTTATCTGGTTGCATGGGGTTACCTGGTCGCATGGGGTTACCTGGTCGCATGGGGTTACCTGGTTGCATGGGGTTACCTGGTCGACAAGGCAGATGGAGGGCACGCGTAGGGCACTGAAGAGCACGGCACATGTCACCTCCCTCAGATGCCGCCTCCCCTCCTGCGCCTCGCGCGTTTCTGTGTGTGCAGAGGAGAGATGGGCATGGGGAGGATGGGAGGGCGGGCAGGGTGAGGGCAGGCTGTCACGTTGAGAATGTAGGCAGGCATGATGAATTGCAGATTAGCAACACTTCTGCCCTGTAGGTGGACGCATGCCAGCAGAGAAGCACTTCGAAGGAAACAACACGTAACGGCTGGCACGTGGCACAAGAGAGTCACCTGGCAGGTGGCATGACAGATTCACCTGGCAGGTGGCACGAGAGAGTCACCTGGCAGGAAAGCGAGAGGCTCGGAGAGGACAACAGGGTGGTTGGCGGGAATGGCTCGCATGCTGTGAGGGCGGATGGAGATAGATGGGGAAGAAGCATGGGCGACAGAGAGGGAAATGGAGGGAAGCAAGAATGCAGAAGAACAAAGAACGGGACGGGTGAAGGGAAGAAGACGGCGAGGGAAGACAGGGAAATGGAGGGAAGGGCATAGGAGGGATTGATATTAAGGGAATAAAATGGAAGGAAAAAGGGATAACATTGGGAATGTTACAAGGAGTACTGAAGGTAAGGCACAAGGCACAACATGTGCCTGCATCCTTTGCATGCATGTCTGCACCACTTGAAAGGTATGCTGAAGTCATTAAGTACCTGGCATAGATGGAGGAGAAGAGGGCTCGAAGGCGGGCGAGGGAAGGTGCCTCGATGTTTCCAAACTCCTGGTTTGGGTGGCAGCAACCACAGCGTGCCGCTCTCCCAGCAACCACAGCATGGTGGGTGGGAGAGCGACAAATGTGAGAAAACGTACTTAATGGCAGGAAATAAAAGAAGAGCGAATGGTACGAAGCAGAACGGAAGGGAGCTCCCATGTGGCAAACCAGACGTGCTTCAGACAATTATCAAAACGGACTGACCAGAAAGGTGGCGATGCGTCCTGATGGCGCTGCGTCGTTGCTCATGCCAAACTTGCAGTACCCCGACCCGCCTGCACTCCCACACACACTCAATTAAAGGTTGTATAGGGGCGTGGAGAGGCGTGGAAAGAGGCAGGGCGCGGCGTGGAGAGGTGTCCAGAGGCGTGGATAAGAGTAAAGAGGCGGGGAGAGGCTGGGAATGCGGCGTGGAATGAGAGCACGGGGAATGCGGCGTGGAATGAGAGCACGGGGAATGCGGCGTGGAATGAGAGCACGGGGAATGCGGCGTGGAATGAGAGCACGGGGAATGCGGCGTGGAATGAGAGCACGGGGAATGCGGCGTGGAATGAGAGCACGGGGAATGCGGCGTGGAATGAGAGCACGGGGAATGCGGCGTGGAATGAGAGCACGGGGAATGCGGCGTGGAATGAGAGCACGGGGAATGCGGCGTGGAATGAGAGCACGGGGAATGCAGCGTGGGCAGCGCACCATCGACAACGACAGCGGGCGGCAGCTGGGCGCGCAGGCGGTAGATGGCACACCACGGCAGGCACGTGATCCTGCTGTCGCCGCACTGCCCCAGCAGCATCTGCTGCTGCTCGCGACACCTCGTCATTCCCGAGGGTCTGGCCTCCAGTTCACTGCCATATGGTCTACCACGTGCATGGGGGTGCCCAGTGGGGTTGGTGCTTCTTGCAGCTGTCATTTCACTCCGCTCCTGTTTCGCCACACCCACTTCGCCGTGCACAACAGATAGTAGGACAACTCAAATTCGACGTTTTTCTGGAATTCTCAATGTCACCTCACCTGCTCCCTCACCCGAGCCTCACCTGCTCCCTCGCCCGAGCCTCACCTGCTCCCTCGCCCGAGCCTCACCTGCTCCCTCGCCCGAGCCTCAGCTGAGTTTCAGCGAAGACCACCATCGGCCATCCCTCGGGATCTTCGGATCGCAGCAGGTCCTCCCACAGCGAATCAGAGCTCGCCAAGTGGCGCCATTTCCGACTAACAGCGGCGGAGGCCGCGAGGGTTTCGCGGGAAAAGAAGGAGAAGACTATAAGGAGTACATCGTGTCAGAACATTATAGCTTATGCTTTTGTGTAGGCTATAGTGGGGTATCCCATAGGGGGTACAACCCAATTAGGGTTAGTACTTGTACCCACTTCACTCATAGTTCATCCATTCTCGTTCTCACTTTCTCATGGTATCGAGCAGGTTCCCTCGTGGGAACTATTCCTAGGGCCCACCGATCCTCCCTTTTTTTTCCTCCCCGGGGCGCGTCCTGCCCCTGCCCGAAGCGCGCCTAGGGTCGCGCCCTCCTTAGCGGCCCGTCGCGTCGCCCTTAGCGGCCCGTCGCGTCGCCCTTAGCGGCCCGTCGCGCCGCCCTTACGGCCGCGTAGCGCAGCCCTAACGGCCGCGTCGCGCCGCCCTTTCACAAGCGGCCCGTCGCCGCCCTTCTCCTGTGGCCCGCCGCCCTCAACTGCGGCCCCGCCGCCCTCAACTGCGGCCCCGCCGCCCTTCTCTGCGGCCCCGCCGCTCTCACCTGCGGCCCCGCCGCTTTCACCTGCGGCCCCGCCGCCCTCAACTACTGCGTCCCCGCTGCCCTCAACTGCTGCGGCCCCGCCGCCCTCAACTGCGGCCCCGCCACCCTCAACTGCTGCGGCCCCGCCGCCCTCAACTGCTGCGGCCCCGCCGCCCTCAACTGCGGCCCCGCCACCCTTCTCTGCGGCCCCGCCGCCCTCTGCTGCGGCCCCGCCGCTCTCACCTGCGGCCCCGCCGCTTTCACCTGCGGCCCCGTCGCCCTCAACTGCTGCGGCCCCGCCGCCCTCAACTACTGCGGCCCCGCCGCCCTCAACTGCGGCCCCGCCGCCCTTCTCTGCGGCCCCGCCGCCCTCTGCTGCGGCCGCGCCGCTCTCACCTGCGGCCCCGCCGCTTTCACCTACGGCCCCGCCCCTCTCGTTGGCGGCCCCGCCGCTCTCATCTGCGGCCCCGTCACCTGCTGCAGCGCCGCCCGCCACCCGGGCTTCCCGACCCGCCCCACCCAGCCGAGCAGCCGACCGCCGCGGCGCCCTGCAGCAGCACCGTCGAGCCGCCCGGGCAACCGAGCAGCCGGACAGCCAGCCGCCGAGCCGCCCAGCAGCCCTGCAGCCGAGCCGCCCAGCAGCCGAGCCGCCCTGCAGCTGAGCCGCCCAGCAGCCGAGCCGCCGTACAGTCGAGCCGCCGGACCGCAGAGCCGCACTGCAGCCGAGCCGCCCAGCAGCCCAGTAGCCGAGCCGCCGATCTGCCGAGCCGCCCTACTGCCGAGCCTCCCGAGCTGCCCTGTCCGGTGAGCACAGTGCCTCTTTTGCTACACTGCCCTCACCCTACTGTTGCACTGCTAGTCTACTGTGGTCATGGCTACCCCTAGTGTCCTCGCTTTTGACGCTGAGGGTCGAGCCATTGACTTTGACGTCTGGGTAGATGACCTGCAACTGTTCTTACAGTGCGATAGGGCAGACGATCTCTCTCTCTTTGACCTCACCTCTGGCGCCTCTCCTGCCCCTGCTGCTGATGCTGACGCCACTGTTCGCTCCCAGTGGGCCACGCGCGACGCTGCTGCACGTCTTGCTGTGCGTCGCCACCTCCCTACCTCCGAGCGTGCGCACTTTAGTCAGTACAAGAGTGCTCAGTCCTTGTACGACGCTGTAGTTGCGCGCTACTCCTCCCCTGCCACTGCTGCACTGAGCCGTCTCATGCTACCGTACCTCTTCCCTGACCTTACTGCCTTTCCCACTGTCGCTGACCTCATTACGCACCTCCACACTAGTGACACTCGCTACCGTGCTGCGCTTCCTACTAACTTCTGCGCCAAGAACCCCCCCCCCCATGTACATCACTCTCTACTACATAGTCACTTGCCTCCCTGACTCCCTTCGCGTAGTCAGGGACCACTTCCTCTCAGTCTGTCCCACCACTCTCACTATTGACCTCCTCGAGAAGTCCCTTCTAGCGGCCGAGAAGAGCATAGTCGCTATAGTCGCTGTAGGGGCCTCTCGTGGTGACCCGCGCACCCCCATCTTTGAGGGGTGCTCCCCCTCCCCCCTTCTGCCCTCTGTTGCCTCTGCTGCTACGGCCGACCTCCTTGGTCTTGAGTCGGTCGGTGCGGCGTCCGCCCCTAGCGGGAGACGCCGCTCTGGCAAGGGCAAGGGGGGCATAGGCGTTGGAGGAGCGAGCGGGAGCGGTGGAGGTGGAGGCGGCGGGGGGAGTGGGGGTGGCGGTGGGAGTGGAGGTGGGGGAGGAGGTGTTTGTGGCGGCAGTGGAGGCGGAGGCGGCAGCGGCGGTGGTGGTGGGAGCGGGGGTGGCGGAGGTGGTGGCGGTGGAGGCGGCGGCGGAGGCGGCAGTGGTAGCGGAGGCGGCGGAGGCTGCGGAGGCGGCGGGGGTGGCGGTGGAGCTGGTCGCGGGTCTACACAGAGGAGTGGTTCCGGTGGTGGCCAGCGCCAGCAGCAGCAGCGCGGTCGTGAGACCCTGTCCCCTCAGCAGCTCCGTGAGTGGTACACTGCACGCCAGCGGGGTGGGGGTTTTGGTCCGTGCACCTACGTCCTGCACACCGGCGACCGTGCGGGTGAGCAGTGTGGGGGTGCGCACCCCACCCAGCGCTGCTTTGGCCGCCTGACGGACGTGTGGCGTCGCCAGTTCCCGGAGGCCACACAGATCCCTCGCTGGGGCGAGCTGTCTAGGGCGGGAGTTGCTATCTATGATCTTGATTTTGATGCTATTCTTTCGGCCATGTATGCTGTGTCTATTAGTGATGAGGGTGACTGTTACCGGTGCTTCCCGCCCGATCCGGGCATTGGGACTGCTGCTCTAGGTACTGGTGAGGCTGCTGCCCTAGGTGCTTGTGACGCTGCTGCTCTAGGTGCTAGTGCGTGTGCGTCCTCAGGTACTGGTGAGTCTGCACTCTCAGGTACTGCGTCGGCTTCGGCCTCCCTCACCTTCACCCTTGACTCTGGAGCTTCTCGCTCCTTCTTTCGGGACCGCACCACACTCACGCCGCTTAGTCGGCCGGTGGCGGTGTCTCTGGCTGACCCTTCTGGGGGTCCTGTCTTGTCTCACTTCTCCACAGTCCTCCCTTGTCCCGCGGCTCCCTCTGGCACCCTGTCTGGTCTCTACCTCCCCTCGTTCTCTACGAACCTGGTGAGTGGTGCTGACCTATTGGATGGGGGAGTACACCAGTTCACTCCTGCGCGTCAGCGGGTGACGCACTGCACAGAGGCTAGCACAGGCCGACACCTGGCTACGTTTACGCGTCAGCCGAGGTCGAACCTGTACACACTGACCACTACGTTTCCTCCAGTTGCTACGTCGGGTCAGGTGTTTGCTGCAGCGTCCAGGTCTGGTCCTGAGTCTGCCCCCTGTTCGTGTCGTCTCCTGTCTTACGAGACTCTCCTCTGGCACCACCGTCTTGGTCACCCCTCTCTGCTTCGGCTCAGAGGCATGGCCTCTCGTCTTCTTGTTTCTGGTCTCCCCCGGTCCCTCCCTCCCCTTCCTCACAGCCTTGGCCCTACCTCTGTCCCCTGTGTCGAGGGGCGCCAGCGGGCTGCCCCTCACTCCTCCTAGTTTCCTCCGACAGAGGCCCCGCTGCAGACGCTTCACATGGACGTGTGGGGCCCAGCCCGCGTCCGTGGACAGGGTCACGAGCGCTACTTCCTGCTCGTTGTTGACGACTACTCGCGTTACACCGCGGTCCTCCCCTTGCGCAGCAAGGGTGATGTCACTGAGGTGCTGATCGACTGGATCCGCGCAGCTCGTCTCCAGCTCAGGCAGAGCTTTGGCTCGGACTTTCCTTTTCTGCGTCTACACTCGGACAGAGGCGGAGAGTTTTCCTCTGGCCTTCTGAGAGCCTACTGTCGCGCACGAGGCATCCGTCAGACCTTCACGCTTCCGGACTCCCCGCAGCAAAATGGGATTGCTGAGCGCCGCATTGGCATGGTCATGGATGTCGCTCGTACGTCTATGATGCATGCGGCTGCTCCCCATTTTCTGTGGCCGTTTGCGGTGAGGTACGCGGCGCATCAGATCAACCTACACCCCAGGGTCTCCAGGCCGGAGACCTCCCCAGCCTTGCTGTGGACGGGGAAGGTTGGCGATGCGTCGGCGTTCCGGGTCTGGGGATCTCGGGCGTTTGTCCGCGACTTGTCTGCGGACAAGCTGTCCCCTCGTGCTGCTCCTTGCGTCTTCCTGGGGTTCCCCCCTGACGCGCCTGGGTGGCAGTTCTACCACCCCACCTCTCGCCGTGTTCTGTCCTCCCAGGACGTCACGTTTGACGAGCCAGTCCCCTACTACTGCCTCTTCCCCTACCGCACTCCGTCCCTCCCCCCCCCCCCCCGCTCTTCCTTGTACCAGGTCCCCCCCCGGTAGACCCCCTCCCCCCTCAGGGTCCTGCCCCTTCAGGTGTGTCCCAAGTAGACGCAGTCGAGCCTGTCGAGGTTTCTGATGACTCTAGTGCTGCTGGGGGTGCTGAGCCTGGGGGTGCTGAGCCTGGGGGTGCTGCGACTGGGGGTGCTGAGCCTGGGGGTGCTGAGCCTGGGGGTGCTATGCCTGGGGGTGCTGTGCCTGGGAGTGCTCCACCTGGGGGTGCTGAGCCTGGGGGTGCTGAGCCTGGGGGTGCTGAACCTGGGGGTCCTGAGCCTGGGGGTGCTGAGCCTGGGGGTGCTGAGCTTGGAGGTGCTACGCCTGGAGGTTCTCCGGTTGCTTCGTCTCTGCGGGAGCCACTCTCTCCACAGGAGCTGCGCGAGTGGTTTGCCCGGCGTTGGAGCCGTGCTGCTGGTGCTGGAGGTTCTTCGACTACTGAGGGTGCTGCTGTCGCGGGTCCCGGAGGTGCTCGTACTGGGAGTACTGGACTGCTGGGCCTACGGGTTCGACTGGAGCTGGTGCTGCTGAGGGTGTT